TTGATCTGTCTAGGGACCTTTCATATCACGTGTCTCAAGGGTGTTTCCAGAAAACCCAAGTGGGAACGCCTAGAGAGACGACTGTACTGTCAGTCTCAAAGACATCGCACGACTTTCCTTTCTGTGTGACAAAACCTGTCACCATACGATTCATGAGCAGTTTATCTAAATTATATTTAAAAATGTATTTTCTTTATTTTCGTTTCTACAGAACTTGCCATGGTCAAAACTCCTGCTTTGTTTTTGTACCTTTAGCCTGGTTAATCTCCAGGGAAATTCTTGAATAACAGCAGACTTACAGAAGCGATTCAACCAATGCAGTTGATAATCGTCGTTAAATAACCGAAGAATTTATCAATTATTTAATTTTTACAAGCGTCATTAAATATCTAGAGCAGTAGTATTCAACCTTTTCTGTTCGCGTACCCCCAGATATAATTTCTCTTCAACTTTGTACCCCCAAAGTTGTTGGTGTATAATTCAAGTTATACATAGTATATAATCTACATATAAAATAAATTAAATAAATTACATTACTGATTATTCAGTGTTTATCATAAAATAATATATTTTTTTTAAATTTCACGTACCCCCGGGGGTACTCGTACCCCAGGTTGAATACCACTGTTCTAGACGAATCAGCAAATGCGATGATGATGATGATGTGACAGCTGATGTTTTCACAACGACACTAACGCCTCCTGCAGTCCATTCGCATGAATTACAAACGTTTTGCTTCGTAATCTCGTTTTCTTTTGTTTTACGCATTTTCGCTCCATCATTGTTTATGGGCGGTTGGGACTCCACTCGTCAGAATAATGCAGGCCATGATATTCACTTTACTTCTAGGCCTAAGCGCAGACTCTGCTCATAGCTTTCGTATTAATTTCAATACGGGGTAGAATAAATGACTGTATGCACTTTTGTAAGAGGATGGAGACAAAAAGTTTCTATTTCCTTCCACAGTTCCACTTACAAAAATATCTAGCTTTGTGACGTCGTTTGTTTTAAATAAAAAGATACCATTTTCGGAGCTCTCATCACATATTTATGGATTTCGTTCTCTTTTAATGTCCGTAACGACGTCTCTGTGATTTTTGTCAGATGTTCCAAATGTCAAAATTAAGAGATTTTTGACGTTTTCATATCGACGAGTATAAAGATTGTTGTCTTCTGGGATACAGAACAGTTCAGTCTGACAGATATTGACCGATGTTTCAGAGTAGCTTCCTGCGTCCATCATCAGGGATTCAGAATGGTCCTCTTCAACGTCGGACGGATCTAGCCGACAACAGGGTGCTTTAACCCAGAAGACAGCCATCTTCAAATGATGCATTGGTTTGAATTGCACTTTTGGTCTACATCCGCGTGTCATGTAAGTCGATCCTTTGTTATGTCTCCCACCCCCTGCATTTTCATACATTAATGGGGGGGGGGGGCAGGCGGATTTGGGTGGAGAAGCCAGGGAGCTTTTTTTTTGGTGAGCCTACACTATGACACATTAGGAGAACCACAACTCCCAAGATCGAAATCCTTATTCGCGTGCCAGGATCCCGAGAGAACGTCGACCACACTCTCTGATTTAGTGACAGGATAAGCTCCTAAAAATATCTGTCTTCTGGGATGCTACACCGTGTCTCTCTGGTAGATACTGACCGACGTTTCAGAGGAGCTCATCAAGGGATGAACCAAGAACTGACAACAGAAAGACTTGAGTCTATAAAATATTTCAAGTTGACACTTAATTCGTTTTACGAAGTTGAAATCCATAAAATCCCGTTTCTTGGCTGATTATTACAAACAATAAAATACCAGTTGCTTAAGAAAAAGATGAGATATAATTGTTTAAACGGCCAGATGAATCAATTAATCCCGATAACCTTTAAAAATTACGCATTTTGTTTCAACTCTTTCATACGCGTGTCATATTCAGGAAATTCTACTCTCCTTCTCTTCGCTTTTCATCTCTTATCCTCCTCTTATTCTTGCCCATCCATTTTTCCTGCTCCGTCTTCAGTGATGTATGTAACCCGCGCGAGTGCCCATGCCGGACAATATGGCCGCTGCTAAGTTTCTTTTAACGCTTCCGAAGCGAGTGCAGTTGGAGGTCCCACAACGCCCAGTTTGTTAACTGCCAAGAAAAAAATACGATTCCAGTCCAGTTGCCTTATGTAACGCAACACTGCCCCGGGATGATTACGTCACCTGCACAAAGCGGACGGTAATGAATCTTTGGACACCGTAAAGACGAGAGATTTCTTGACTAGCGAAGGAAGTGTAACTTCTCACGAAAGGCTGTCTGTGGGAGTACTGCAGGTTGTAGACTATGTGTAGCTATAGCATCCATGGTGGTCTTCTGGGGTAACCACCCACAAGTTCACACGGCATCACAACCCAGAAGCCCACAGAGTAGCAATAGCGTCCATGGTGGTCTGCCGGGGTAACCATTTACAAGTTCAACGCCGTCATAACCCAGAAGACCACTCTCTCGCTTTCCCATGCCAACAACCTGTCACTTTTTGTGCTCGGTTTTGGAAACTTGTCTGAAGGGACAATCTTGCGACACACTGAATACTATGACGATTGGGGGAAGCAGGGTCTGTTGTTCCTGACCGCAGCTGCTATGTAGATCACAATATGAAGACTACAAAATACGAGGGTTTGCATTTATTCCTCGGCCAGTCTCAAAACAAATCATTAAACATAAAGAAATACAATTATTTTGCCAACAGGACATGTCACAGCTCCGACGGCAAACTGGAAGAACAAATGCCACCGTCACCTTTCCGTCGAGTGCCTCCGATTTCCGAAGGAGTCTCCGTATTTTTTGTAGTATTTCCACGCAACGCACTGCGAAGTGTTTTAAATTTTCCTGTCTTCTTTTGTATATATTAAACAGACGTCTACAACTTCAACTTTTCGGTTCAGCGATTGAAAATGTAACTTTTACAAACAACAGGCCCTTGTTTTCTGTAAAAACTTAGCCTATTGTGATCGTGGAAACAATTGAGCCTCGGATGCACCTAGGACGCCACATTTACCTTAAGAGTTACCATATGCGTATGGCAGCAATTCCCGAACTGTCACTCCACGTCACCCCTACACCTCTAAATCAAAATACGATAACCGCCATCATTACATTTTTCCCACGCATTTAACTATCATTGGTGTCAATGAAGCGAGCCCTTTGAAGTATGTTACTCGTCTAAATAATAAATTATTTAAATTAAATAAATTATTTAAAATCCCTCAAGAAAACACAAGTTCAAAAGGTCAATACTGTTGAAGGAAGTTAATCGCTGTTTATTTTGAAGAAATAAATAAAAATACATGCGAAAACTGCGCGTAATCTGTGGGGGAAAAACGCATAGTTGGGATTTAATATTAAAGACGGGTGGTAAATATTGTTACCACTGAACTTTGAAAGATAAACTTCATCCTGACATTCCTTCAGCTAAACCATCGGTACAATCCGAAAATTTTCGCGGTGTTTAAAGAAATATTTTCTTCTGGAAGGAAAGGGAGCTCTTGTAATTATAGGCCCGCAACTGAACTAAGCGATTCGGATCAGAATTAATAGCGGCTTTGTTCTGTTCCCTGCACCCTCTTAATTTTAATGTATTTAAAACTTCTTGAAGAAAACATGAGACTGTACGTTACTCCTGATATTTTATTTACAATATAAACACTCCATAAATTCAGCAGAACACATTTTTGTATGGCGCAAAGTTTTTTATCCGCGGTGTACCCAGGGCACGATATCTGGGATTCGTATTCGTGGTTCAATTATCGCATCTTTCAGCCTTCACATATTCCATATTTAATTCCGTGTGTCAAATTTACAATATATTTATTCATTACATTTTATTTATTTATTTTATTTTTATTGTGAGATTTCTGGTTGTCAAAGCGGCGAGTATACCCTGAAGATGGAAGCAGTAAACACGTCTTACATTAAGTCAACTTCCACGAGACTACACGGTACAAAATCCCCCCCCCCCAAAAAGTATTATTATTATTATAATTATTTATTTATTGTCGTTCTGATTGTATTAATTGGTTCTGTTGTTTTGAGTTGCACCTACAAATTTGGCTTTTCATTCAGCGCACGAAAAACAAAAGTGAATTTAATCACTTGCCTTTCTTGTTGTTACATACTGCGGTCATATTAAAAATTAATTTCTTGCAAAGATTTTAAAATCTAATATTTTAATATTTTCCGTCAAATCACAATTTTAATAAAATATAAAATATTTAAAATATCATTTCACGTTCCGCATCGAATGATCGATTTACAAATTTGGAACGTTCGATGCGGAACGTGAAATGATATTTTAAATATTTTATATTTTATTATCTTATTAAAATTTGTGATTTGACGGAAAATATTAAAATATTAACCTAATTCACAATATGACGCAAATATACTACCTTATAAAGATTTTAAATTAATGATTAATTAACTTCCTTTCCCACCTGGGTTTAATTTTCATCACACTTCAGTGGAACACGCGAAAGTGAGGACCACTTTTAAGTTTCAGTCTACAAAAAAAATCATTTGGGACGAGCGTGTTCATCGTAGCGTAATCAATACAATCATCTTTGAGGCGTCAGAAAACTATTCATGTATTTTTACACTCATCTAATGATGAATCCCATTAAATCGATTGATTCATTAGCACACAGCATCATTACAAAGCCCCGTCCATCTTGAAACAAAATGAATCAAAACAGAAATAAATACGATATAATCCCGATTGTCCAGGAGTCCCTGACAATGAATCACATAGTTCCAGCCAATGAGAAAACTTTTCCCACGTGGTTCAGCTGGTTTTATGATGCACCTCCCTCTTCCGACAAGCTCCGCCCAAGTTGGACTCGGGTGTCTCCGACTGACTGGTCGCCATAGCTTTGCGGACCAATGAGGTTCATCGTCGACGTCGTACAGAAGATACGTCGCCAGGGATAACAGAGCCCCGTCAGATGCGAGGAGATCATCACGGAGTGTGGAAGGGTCTGTGTCACTGTTGCGTTACAAATCCCTCCCCCCCCCCAAGTTATCAATGTGGTGTTTACAAACATTTGAATGATATTACAGTGCATCGCCCGAGTGCCAGTTGGATCTAATTCGAGTCCCGGTGCTAGACGTAAGCATGCGAAGACCTGGGACTTGGTTTAATTAAAGTGAAGCATCTGTCAGCTGATGTAAGTGAAATGTTTGAACGTCTTCTCGTTTGAAATTAAACAGCAATATCCTCGGTGACACACAAGAACTAGCAAGTTATAATGAAGATAAATCAGTCGGGGCTGTCAGCGTGAAATGAACGCAGAATCTGTTGGTCGTGCACCCTTGGGAAAGTGAAGTCGACCAGCGCCGTCGGCCGAGACCCGCGGCTACCTCCGAGAATAGCACACGCGGTCCCTCCATGTTGGCCGGTCCTCCAGCAGGCAGCGGTGGCCTGCTTCAACAGATGACTCCCGAGTTGCCATCGAGCGTCGCGATGCATCACTTCCAACAATCCGTACCACAACACTCACCGCCGCCCGGAGGCAGCATGAGTCCGTTATTACCAAGTTTCGGTTTCACTCAGGAACAAGTTGCGTGCGTGTGCGAGGTGCTCCAACAATCGGGCAACATCGAGCGTCTAGGCCGATTCCTGTGGTCACTTCCGGCCTGTGAGAAACTGCATAAGAATGAGAGTGTCCTAAAGGCCAAGGCAATTGTCGCGTTCCACCGGGGAAATTTTAAGGAACTGTACCGTATTCTGGAAACGAACCAGTTCTCCGCCCACAACCACCCCAAGTTGCAGGCGCTGTGGCTCAAGGCGCACTACGTCGAGGCAGAGAAGCTGAGAGGAAGGCCTCTGGGAGCCGTGGGCAAGTACAGAGTTCGACGGAAGTTCCCGCTACCGAGAACCATCTGGGACGGAGAGGAGACGAGCTACTGCTTCAAAGAGAAGTCCAGGTCGGTCCTGAGGGATTGGTACACCCATAACCCGTATCCCAGCCCCAGAGAGAAGAGGGAGCTTGCAGAGGCTACTGGTCTCACCACGACACAAGTCTCCAACTGGTTTAAGAACCGTCGACAACGAGACAGGGCCGCGGAACAAAAGGACGGGTGAGTTCGATGATTCTCTTTACAAACTGCAATCATCAGCTGATTTTCCCCCTTCATACTTCATCATCATAATTCCACTTTCCGTGTATATTCGGCTGTTTAATTTATCCCATTCTAAAATCCAACTGCAGTGAGATATAAATTAATTCGAAAGGAAACGCGGGTTTGGAACAAGAGATCACACCTCATCGAAACATTTTTCACCATCGACATTTTATTCTTGAGAAACTGTGACATTTTTTAATACGTTCCGAACTCATTTTCCTCTTATAGTCTTTTCGAAGCTCATAATCGGGCCCCTTTGGTCTGTGCACTCATTAATTCTGGTTTGTGTGTGTATGTATACATTATGTCGATCTGGTGAACAGATTCTGTACTCTAAAATGTTGGCCATTTCCAAAAGGCGTTTAAGGTAAAAAAAATATGCAACTCAAAACGTCAGGCGTATAAATTTCATATAATAAAGACGTAATTTAACTTAGATAAACGGTGCTTTAATCGAAGTCATTCTGCGTTACGTTACAAACTGCATAAAATCTCGAGATTTTCAACCACGAACAGGCCTATAATTCAAGATCGGCAACTGAAGTCGGCCAATTAGAAACAAGATTATTATCTCTCAACCGTGACGACTAGGCCTATGTACCTATATGATATGAAACGTTACCAACACACAATAGACCTACGGTCAGAGTTGTTGAACCTAATACAAGTTAAACCATAAAATAATCAGGTTTTTGTCTCAACTTCTCGTTGTAATATTCGGTATCAATCAGACGCATGTAATTTTAAAAATTTGATTTTTAATTCTCTTGTCATCTGTCTTAATCGATTACCGTAATAAATTAAGACAGTAATCGGTAGTTTACAATTAATCAGCCTGTTCATTAATCTTAAGACCGCAACCCAACAGAATTAAGATATTCTTGATCTTATCGAAGACATTGCTTTTTATAAATCTCATACTGGACGTAATTTAGAAAAGGCGAATCCATCGTGGTTGTCCCGCGGCAGTACGCCTGCATACCGGCGTTCTTTATAATAACCTCGCTGATAACCCATTTTCAAGTTTCTCGCTAAACTTTTAATATTTCATTCTAGGAATATCTGAAACTTAAATGAGTGTCATTTCTTTGCTGACTAAAGTTTCTACCACAATGCGACATGTATGTTGTGTTAAACTATCAGTGTTAATTCTGCTTATAATAGAAAATATAATTTGAAAGAAATAATTGTCGGCCGCCCTTAAATGTGGACCTAAATATTTGAAAATTTTGAAGTCATTATCAAAATAAACAATGAAAGATCGTTGTTGGCATTAATTATTTAAACAGCGTGGTAATTATATGTGCCGCCTGCTTAAGAGTAATTAACTTTGCATTCTGCCCGTATGATGCATGATGATTTTATTTAATTCTCAGAATAAACAGGGTTTATTTTCTAAAACAGCATTAACCAGCATTTTCATAATGGAGATGTTTTCTTTAGGGTAATAACTTCTCTTTTAATTTAGTTATTATTTAGACAAACTTTGCATTTAAAGCGTCGAACTTAAAACTTAAGGAGCACTGAATCTTGTTTGGGTCATTTAAAGTTTTAGCTCAGAAGTTTCAATTCGTATCACAGCAAATTCCCGAACCATTCACACTGCCTCTCGTAAGCAAACTACTCAGTGAACACGATTTGCATTGCCGTCAGACTTCACATTATTTTTAAGCAGGCTTATTAATCTAAGTAGGCCCACTTTGAAAACGTTAGCCTGAAGGGCCTAGGTATATTTCAGATAAAGGTACGTCTGTAAAAGTCGGTTATTAAATGAACTTCTTGCCTTCTGCGACAATGCGA